TATATATATATTATATTTTCTAATGTACTGTAAGGACATGGCAATTGAATAGCTTTAGTCAGGGAATGATAGCCGCCAGTGGCAAGATTCCGCAGATCGCTGCTGAATGTAAATGCAGCAGGTAGTGGGCTGGTGAAATAGCCAGCCTGCTTTTTGCCATTCCAAATTGCAATAGCATGCTGGTTATTGCACCTGCCTACTGCTTGCTGTTCTCTCCTCCCAGCATGGAGGAGAGAGCTAGGGGATCCAACCAACTAATCGATTATGAGAATAGTTGTGAACTATTCTCATAATCGATTAGTTGATTGCAGCCCTAGTCTTTTTTTTGTTTTGTTTAGCATCCCCAGCACTGAATACACAGGAGCACTCGGTACAGAGGCTTCCTGTTCATTCACAAACTGTGGAGGCATAATACTCTCCCCAGTTATGAATATACAGGAAGCCCCTCTACTGAGTGCTCCTCTCCATTCTTAAACTGAGCATTTAGTGAGCTTAATATGTCCCCACTTATGAATGAACAGAAAGTGATGTAGCTTACTCTGTGCTTGGTTATTTACAAACTGCAGTAATCAATACGGATCATTGCGGTTTGTTCTGCACATTATTTGCTGATCCTCCGCTTGGCATCCTGAAACTCCGCCCAGCACTGCCTCGCTCTCCATTCTGACAGCAGATCTCTGCCCAAAAAGATTTGCGAGTCCCAGTGGACAGTCGCCTTAGTAACAGCATGCAATGCCAGGCTGCAGCAAATAAGACGAGCAGGGTACCATCTTGTATAAAAAAAAAAGGGAATGTACTCTAAAGACAGTCATAATTCTGCCCCTGTACAAAACACTTGTTTGGCCACATCTTGAGTATGCGCTTTAGTTTTGGTCACCCGTCCACTGCAGTGATGTCCTTGAGCTGTAACGAGTCCAGAGAAGGGCAACAAAACTAAATTATGGGAAGAGATTGCAAGCGTAAAATTTGTTAACTCTTGAAAAGAGGAGACTGATGGGGGACATGATATTATTGTAAAAATGGTGATGAGATGATCCGTAAACTTTTTACTGTTGGTTCAATCAAGAATCTAAGAGGCCAGAAACTGGAATAGAAAAGGTACACACACACACCTTAATGGTTCTGTGTCTTTATTCAACCTTAAATCTATGTAACTGCAGCCAAACATCTGCAGCCGATAGTAAAATCAACTTTTCCTGAATATACGGGTGCTGATGAGGGCGACTTGGATTTTGGCAGACTTGGTGAGGCTCGGCGGTAATGCCAGCAGTGTGTGGCCAGATTTTAGATGTCTTTGGCGCATTTCCCCCCCATTGGACGTTTTCTCCTCGCTCTTGTGACAACTCTAAGCCCCGGTTCACACCTGGGCGTTTTGTAGCGCGTTCCTACGCTCTGCAAAACGCTCAAACACCGAAATCCCATTATTTCCTATGGGTATGGTTCACACCTGGGCGTATTACAGGCCGTATGAACGCGCTACAAAACACCCTACGCCCAAAGAAGTACAGGAGCTTCTTTGGGGCGTTTGTCATGCGTTTCCATTGGGATACAGCCAAGTAGCCCGCGGAAACGTGCGTTTTTACCGCTAATCGCGCGACAAACGCGCCTTTTCGATACGCCTAGGTGTGAACCCAGCCTAAAATATAGGACACAAGTACAAAATAGAGTTTGCATAATTCCAGCAATGCACAGAGCAATAAAAACTGTCTTCCTTACTTTATCCAAAATATATAAGAAAAAAATAATTGTCCTTGCATACTGTGACGAGAGTGGCCAAAATTGCATAATTCGGTGATGAATATTTTGTGCGGGAAACAATTTCTGTTTTATGTTTGTGTCACTACTGCACCTTCATATTGCATAGAAAGAGGATGTGTTCTATAGTTCCAAAGGTAGCTGAGAACGCATTTATTTCAGTGCACCCAAATTTACAAGGCAACTGGCATTCTGGCAAGATCCCCAAGTTTATCTGTGCTTACAGAAAATGTAGTTAGTGTTAAGAAGACTAGTGCATCCCCTCCCATGAAACCTGGAGGCCCAGGCCAAATTTAGCCATTTTAGTATGCATTGGTTAAAAGCGCAATCATTCTGGGACTATTTTGCATACCTAAATTTTCCCATGGATTTCTAGATGGGTATAAGGCATTTAAATGGCACACCGTTTTAATACACTGTTTTAAAAATATAAGCTGACAAAAATCTGAAAAGCATTTTTAGTTTATTGCTTAAAGGAGAATCATAAGGAGCTGTAGCTCGCAGTATACTGAGCTTTGGGTGACGAGAGGAAGCTAGTTTGTGTCCTCCCTTTACCCTTAGGAGAACTATGGGGGAAAGCACTGACCCCATAGTTCTCCTTTTAATGTATTTTGCAAAATGAATACAATTTCAAATATCACAATTATTTTGTCCTATTTATCCTGAGTATGGGAACACCAAATATGTGTGGGTTTTGAGTCATACACCAGCACTTTATTATCAATAACTGCATGCATTTTAGATCTCTAGATATTAGGCATTTTCGAGTGCAATGGCTGTAATTGACTTGTTGGCCTGGGACTACGGTAATATATTGGAGGCCATTGCCAACAGGATAAATAAAATATACCTCTGTCCACTCAAAACACACACATTTCTAGGTAAATGGCGATAAAGGAAGAAATTAGTTTTTTTGTTCATTAAATGTTTTTATACTTTTTTTTTTAATTAATCGTTTGCTACCATCACAAGAGGGCAAATAGGCCCCTTATTTGATGGAAGTATTCAAGCTGAGCTCATTCTTTATACCATTGAAATATAAATATTATTGGCTATTCAATTTCCAGCTCTCCACTTGGAGTGGTTTAATGGTTGTAGCTCAGGTCCATAATGGAAAGCCATTTAAGTCCAAGTTTGTTGTGTCTTCAATTTTCACTCTAGGGGAAAAGGTCTGTTTTATTGAATTGCCCTTCTTCCTAATTTGATGACTTGATTGTGTGCATCTTTTTGACATATCTTTCAGATGCTTCCCTTTCAGAAGATCCAGCATAGTATCACCTCACAAGACCATCAGCCAACACCTGACAACTGTATAGTCAGTATGGTTGTAGGCCAGCTTAAGGTAAAAGTCTGTGTGGCATCATTTTTAATAATTTTTATTTTGCTTTTGCATGGTCTAAAATTTAAGCTATGAATGCAAGTTTTGCGTGTAGGTTTTCCCAGTGACTCAAGCTTGACTTGCAATAAAACTAACAGGGAGTTGAGTGTGAATTTATTTAAAAACAAGAGTCTTAAGGATAAGTTCACACAGGTGTTTGGTCAACGCACTGTCCTTTTTGGAGCCTATAAAATGCTTCATATGTCTATCAAGCAGTTATAATGTATTTAGCAAGCTTGGTTTTGATGCCCATCAGCACCTATCTGTGTTTACCATTGCCTTCAGAATTTTGAAAAATCAACATCGGTAGCTTCCTAAACATTATACCTGTGTTGAGAATCATTGGTGTTTGAGAAGCATTTCTTTTGACATCTAGTAGAAGAGTCAGGAAGTTTCCACTGGCATCAACATCCGTGGAACATTTTTTGTGGCATCCACAGTAAAGTGATACAAATGCTTGTCTCCAACATGAATGTGTACTAATACATTAACTTTTGTAATTTTAAGGCCTTTTGCCAAACGCTATGCAAACACCTGCTCTCAATACCTGTGTGAACACATACACAAAGGAACTTATTGTAGTCTTATCAGCTGTAAGCTGAACTCCAGTCAGATATATAACAATTCTAATGTATGCAGGCATGCTTTTATGTAATACAATTATTTGTTTGTTTAAATGCTGCTAATGTAAGCACAGAGAGAGAGAGAGAGAGAGAGAGAGAGAGATTTTTCTTGACGTGCCGCCCGGATTCCCGATTGGTTAGGAAGCCACTTCTACTGTCGTGGTAAACAACCCGCTTCCCTATTTATAATGGTCTGACCCTCTAGCAACTTCAGTGCGAAATTATAGCTAATTTGTCAACAAACGTCAGGTGGTCATAATAATCTGGCCACTCGTATTTGTGTACTGATATATACTGTATGTACAAAAACCAGTTTGTTTTATTATTCTGTTAAATTTATGGTAGCATAAGTGTTTAAAACATGTAAATATTATTTTTTTTTTGTTAAGTTTAACTATGGGTTGAGTGAATTACACTCATCCCCATAGTTAGAGCCGATGTGTGACATTGAAACTGTTCACATGTTGGCTCTATTGATCGGGAAGTGAGGGAAAACATACCGCCATTCGCTCAGTTCCCGATCATCTCCCTGAAGAAAGGGGTGACTGTCGGTCACTGCTCCCCACAGAGATTCCCTCCTTCCCCTCTCCAAACCTCCAGCGCTCACTGGAGGGACGGACGGGCATAGCTGGCTCTGCCTCTAGATAGTCAATCAGCCAGTGGGGTGGATCTCGGCAGTATTGTTGGGATCCGTCCCGACTGCAGCCCTCAACATATAGCATGCAATAGCCCGCTCTGTATATTGAGTTTTGGTTCACAGGGGGACGTTGTTATATGTCCTCCCGTGACCTTAAAAAAAACTATGGGGGGAAAAAAAGGTTACCCCATAGTTCTCAAGCTTTCTTTTTTTAACTAACTGCCTCACTTGGTACCAGAACGTTCATTTTGACATTATGATAAACAGGACAAATTGTAAATTGCAAAATTGCAATTTATAGCGTCAGTTAAAGGATAATTAAAGCCTCGGGTGTTTTTGCATATATCTACCGCTAGCAAGCAGTAGATATATGCAAAAAGTGTAAAAATCGCATTGCTTCTCGGCCTTTTGGCTAAGATCAAGTGTAGTATCTGTTCTTATCAGTTGTTGGAGGGGAGAGGATGTTGCCACCCGATGGGAGAACATTCTAGTACCCTCTGACGTAATGGTGGGTGTCGGAGGACGGTTCGGGTTCGGTCCACTGCTAGTTGCGTCAGGCCCTGATGATCGGGTAGACCCTAGACAGTGGGAGGACCCCCGACGGCACTACCTCCTGATGTGAGCGGAGAACCACAGGGTCTGGCCAGAGGGCTGGGGGCGGCAGAAGCCCGTGGTGTTGTGCCCCCTGGAGGTGGCGTCCCAGGGGTGCTCAGAAAGTCACATGGGTATGGGACCCCATATGACTCACTGTAGCACTTGGTCACACACCACATTGCAATTTTCTGCACTTCGCCTCCAAGACAGGCCTTACGGCTAGTCTGGGGCAATATTTTTGCACTCCAGCCCCTAAGTCCTGTCAGAGTTGTGCACTGGCACTTTAGATTTATTTAAGCACTCTATCCACGTTTGGCACTTTTTTTATTTAACATTTTCGACCCACAGATGCTGAAGGTGCAGGTTTCTTCAGGGCCTATTCCTGACACTGGGAGGAGATTCTGTGCCTCCTATGGGGTTCTCTTGTCTCCTCCCACCCAGGAAGGGGGTCTCTCTTCGGGAGAGCCCCCTTGCCTAGTACTGTGAGGGACCTGTTGCGAATGAAATGGATCCACCGGCCTTCGGGTTGGTGGGCCAACAGTCTCAACCCCTGTCTGGAGCCTTGCACCCCGGGGGGTCGGGAAAGTAGGTCCCTTCTTTTGAAGGACCTTGCACCCTTGTGCATGTTTTTGTGTGCTGTGATTTCACGGTTGCACTTTTTTTGTTCACAGGGGGAAGTTTGTTTTTAGAGGCCAGATAGGGCTACATATTTATATCCCATATATGTACCTAACACATCAATTAGGACAAAAAAAATATTTAAAAAAAAGAGGAAAAAACATAAAGAAAACTTTTTCCCCAGTTTTGATTTTGTAGTATTTTTTTAAAAAACAGCACAGCAAAAAAAAAAAAAATGCAATAAATACATTCATTTATTTGTCCTATTGGAAAAACCTCACATTCCTACGATTTTAGACATTTTTCTGTACTTCTCGGCCTAAAACTAAAACCTAACATTTTAATCTTTTTTTTCTCTTAAAGTGGTCACTTGGCATACAATGTCACCGTCACTAAGTGACATACTTAGTGACAGCGACATACTTTGAACATCAGTGTCATGAGGGGGTTAAAAAAAATTAACCCCTTAAAGTGAAAAACAAATCTGCAGCTCAGCTGCAGATTCTCATTGTAATGGGTTAATTTTTATATAAATTATAGTATAAAAAAATATTTAAATATATAATTTTTATTTGTTACATTTATTTGATTTTTTAAAAATGTTTTTTACGCTTTTATTATTTTTCTTTTTCTTACACTTTTCACTATTTTTAAAAAAACTTTTTACATTTTTATTATATCAAGCAGTCATTGTGAATTCATCTCACTATTACTGCTTGATAAATTAATCAATTTTTGGTTATTAGGCTGCTTCAAACTAATGAACAGCCAATAATAACCTTAGTGACACTGATCCTGCAGCATTTCAGGATCAGCTGTCACTAAAGGTTTTCTGATCGTTACAACAACGATCAGAAAACTGAAACATTCTTTCAGAATTATGTATCTATTGCTGAAAGTGGAAAAAAAAAAGCTGGTATACGATGGAGCTTTCCCGATCTATAGCAGCTGCAAATGTGGCTCTTCTTTCACTCTGACACCCGATTCCTGAATGGGATCGGGTGTCTGAAAAAGGTAAACTCTTTCATTAATGGATGCCTCTATACTGAGGCATCCATTAATTTATGGTAACCGCTGATTCTCAGTGGTTACCAGCCTTCTAGTGCAGCAAATAACGCGTCCCGTACAGTGTACAGGGCCAGTCATTTAAGCACTTTGTGACAGGACGTATAGTGTACGTCTCCCGTCACGAAGGGGTTAACAGACCTGTAGCTAAACATGCCACATCCTTTTTTTTGGAAAAAGTGGCACTTTAAGGTTACTGCCATTTTCACCCTAAAATATGTTGCAGTCTTTAATAATGGTAATATGATTGATTTATTTGTATAGTTTAAGTTTAGTCAAATGGGGTGGGGGGGGGGCTTAGAAGTTTACAATGCTTTGCATACTTTCTACTATATTGTAGTTGTAGGTGGATTTTCCAATGATTGCAGTAATTTTGGTATTAGGGCAGAATACTTTTTGTCCAGGACACACAGCCGCATTAAGTAATGAGTGTCCCACAGTACCCTTGTTCCCTACATTCTAGCAGTACAGTTGGTTGCTAATTGTCCATTACAACTACAGAAGCACAGAAGTCACTATTATACAGAAACCTTTCTATTAACGTGTTTTTCCAGTTGCCATGGAATCCTAAGTAGTAGAACTAAAGGAACTATTAAGGATGGATAGGTTAAGCCTATTATGATTTATTATATTATTGGTAAAATATAAATGCTCAACACTGAATAATAGTGTTAAATATATTATAAGACCTTGCATCCCTATGTGGCATGTGGCATCCCTAATCGCTCCACTGAGAAGCAGCAGCTTGCATCTGTGCGGTCAGATAAACACAAAAAATAACATTTGAAAGCCGCGCTGTGTGAATATGATTACAAAAGTACCAAATACAACTAATACTAACAGTGAAAAATGTGATACAATATAAAGATAATTCGCAAAAGAATCAGCAGTATATCCAAATATACAAATGCATGCCGTAAAAAACATACACCCTAGTGAGAACAGTGAAAAAAGTGCCTAGCAAATGTCTATAATTCATGAATCTTCAATGCCCATCAGTAAAAACAGAAGACATCTAGGTGGATGAAAAATAATCCCAATCTCCCATGACTGTCACCAGAGGAATCTTATGGAATGCACCTCACCTTTAATCGAAGACCCGTCGGGGTCTGTTTACGCTGTTCTTTTTAAAGCCTGGTAGAGGAAGTACCCGGCACCGAACACCTCCCAGTAATTCCTCTTCTCAGTTACGAACGCCTGGTGACAGCCTCCGGTGTTAGAACAGCACATTCGCCCCAATAGACAAAGTATCAATGAATAAACGGGAACACTCGTAGTGTAGATGGTTTAAATGAAAATTAATATACTTTATTAAAAAGCTACTTGCATTCCATAGAAAAAAAGATAAGCATCTGATAAACGTTCAACAGCCACCAACGCGTTATATGATCATCCAGCTCCTATGCTCCACCCTACACATGTTGCGT